TCTTAAAATAGCACATATACACATCCATCTAAATACTCATGCTCACCAAAGGAAGCTGGCTTGAATCTCAAAAAAAACAAAACATTAGATAAGTGTTTTAAGTTTCATGTTGTTTTTTTCACCACACCTTCTGTTTTACATGCTTTGCCGACAGACGTGTTGTGGGATAATTTCAGGTATTTAGCAGATGCTAAATGGATGTTGCTTCAAATCTGACAGGAATACTAGCAATTTGATTAAATTGCTAGTATTGCAATTTGATTTGTTTAAATTGGTTTAAATTGCAATTTGATTGGTTTAAATCACATGAAGCAACTGCACTAAAACAGGTGGTCATATGGAAGTATCCATAGTAATACTAAWGGCATTGAACTGAAGCATAGCTCAGAATTTACAGAAAGTGAAAAGACTGAATTCAGTTTCAAAAGGGGAAGCATTCCAAATGCATCTGAATGAAACTGTAAAGTATAATCTTGGAATTTAACAACACGCTATTGCTGCTCACATATTYATGTTAAGCCTAATGTTACAGGACAAAAAAGCTAATTAAATACCTCTTATTGCAGCTGAACTTAAAAAGTGAAAATGTTCACTATAAAAGAAGGGAACCTGAGTAGAAAACRAGCTCATAGGTAGAGACAAAGAGAACAAAGATCAGCATTTGCCAATTGCTACTGTGAAGTTTCAACAGCTGTTGGGAATTCTGCTTTYTTCTAACACAAAGGAAATCTGCAGAAGCCTCAAATGCTGTTGTGTAGTCACTTCTGGCACCCGTTAAAGATTTTATCTCAACCACTGTTGTACTTACTGCTTGCATTTCAATATTAATTTTTCATTCACTTTTTTCTTATTTAACTTAYTCCTACAAAGTGCAAGCTAATGCCTAGATTAATTGATAAATGCAACACATTTGAACATTATACCTACTTCATATAAAGAAATTCAGAAGTAGACACTAAATATGTATTACCATGTCAAGAATAACTTTTTGTAGTCACTAAACCAGATCACTGAAAAGAAGAAYGCTTCCCAGGTGCAGTAAATTGGAATAGAACATGAAAGATGTTTGATGAACAGTAAGGGAGCCCAATGCATTTTAACAACTATTTAAAGAATTCCTATTCCAAACAAATCAACTTCTTGAATGCAGGTCCTCTTCAACTTCACAGATTTCCATTTAATAAAGCAAGGTCAAACACAGTCATCTGCTTTGGTAAAACAAAATGCAGAACTCAGAAAAATTCCTACTTTTTAAAATTAAAGGGTTCTTTGGTAGCTGTTCAGAACAAGAAACAGTCTTCCTAAAACAGACAGAAATTAAAAATACACCATTATTTTTCATTACATGGAGAATATAGATCAAATTAAATTGTTAAAACCTCATCTGCAACAGTAGCAAATTCAGTTAAAGACAAGAAAAAAGAGCTCAATTCACATAAAAACAACAGTATGAAATAAATCCATCAGGATTGGTATGCAATTATTTTCCACTTTGCCTTAGTTACATTAGTATGTAAGAACAAGTACATTCTGAGTTTCTGACCTTAAGAATGCTTGTCTTTAAGTTTAGATCTGATTATCCTGGTCGTCATATGTTTTTATGTGCTGATATTTGATTACTACTCACCCTTCAATACTCTTATCTTCCAGCATCAAAAAAAAAACCAAAAAAAAAAAAACCAGCTCATCCAGAACGAGCAGGAACTAAAGACTAGAGTATYGCTTGCAGCTGTAGTTTATTGCCCCAAATTTTTGTTACATAGATAAAAAGATACTAGCTCAGATGCAGCAAAACAAATGCTGAGGTCACTTGGCTCTGATTTTAACCATAAGCACATCAAGTACTGCAGTCCTAGCTGTTCTTCAAGTCTATTACGAACTAAATGATTTCATAATCACAGAACGATAAAAAGTAAGGATAGAATTATGTTATAAAGTTCAGCTTATGCAGTCCAGTTGCGTATCTGATTTCACTTATCTCCACTACTGATACAACATTACAACTTAGAAGAAACCCTCACCTTAAAAATTACTGAAACCCTGTAAAACTCACTGATGTAAAATTCACTGACCTTTCACAGCAATCCACTGACATACGAAGCGCAGGATGTAACAATGCACTTTTAATACACAGCAGAACAGAGGTAAACAATATTGACAAATAAATATACTGGACAAGGATAAGTATATCGACCTGACCCATTGCAATTTACGCTTAATGAGAAGATTGTCTCTTGCAAACTTGTTATGAACCACCAACACATGAAACATTTACACAATGATTGGGGTGTGATGGCACTAAGATGACTGGTGTCACTGCCTGCCTCTGATTACAGGATGTCTTAATAGATTATATTAAGATAGTTCCCCCCAATGACTTGGTACTTCTGCTACATTCTTTACAGTAAATCTGGTTCATTCATGTAAGAGATGTGTATTTGGTATTTTTCCTTCTTTTTTCCTGCTTGCTCTACTGGACTGCCTCTTACTAGTCTGTAAACTGCAATGGACATAGAGACTACTACTTTACAATAATTTTAGAGAAAAAAGCATGCTACACATAGAACCAGAAAATAAATTATAGACAGATCCTAGATGGACATATAAATATTATAAATGGAGTGTTTTGATTGTGCCCTTAAAAGCATACATTCACAGAGGTTTGGTGAAAAGTTTCAGATTTCTTTTGCATAATTTTTTGTCAATTAGGAAATCGTACTTCATTATCATCTTGCCCAAAATGCTCTCCCAACTACCTCACTGTTGAAACCTCTATCAATTTGTAATTGGTATGATTGCAAATTTCACTGCTTGGTGAGAAAGGTGTGATGTTTGACTGAAGTAAATTTGCTAAACTTATTAACAGAGCATGGTTGCTGGGCATTAGAAAGCCAAATACATTTTTCCAAATTCACACCATCTGTGAAATGGTAAATGAATAAAGCAGCAAGTTATTTCACTCAAACCATGCTAAAGATGCCATTTCTGCATGCTTATCCCAAGAAAGGCAGCCTGTGTTCTAGATTTATATTCACATCATGAGGGTTATCACATCACCCTCAGCATTTCTACATTTCATCACAAGTCTCAACATGAAAGAAACAGCAGTATGTGGGTGCTGCTTCTGATATGCAAAGTTCTTGGTGCTATCCAGCAATGCTTGCTTAAGGCCAGTAAAATTAAACACACTTTCTAATGTTTAAAAAGCCATCACTCTTTAAGAAACTGATATAGACACCTCTTAATTTTTGGTGACATGGCAGGATTTGGCATGCACTTTAGCTTTGGTTTAGTAATCTCAAAAATTTTATCATATGAAATACCTTATCCACTTACACATTATTTATCAACAGCGAATGATGATTCCTTCAAAGCTAAGAACTCCTCAAGGAGGCTTTATAATTCCAAGGTCACTGTAAGCAGTGCTCCCTTTCTGAACAGGGAGGGCAGYTCAGAATACAGAGTGTTACCACAGTACTACAAGATCCTTCATCATAATCCTTATTTCAGAAAGACGGTGGGTAGTTGGATTTACTCTTTTTCTGTGCTCTTTCATCTTTCCTGACCTCTTTTTCATSGTGTTTTTTGTCCTTACTCATCTGCATATGTCTGTTTCCATCTCTTTAATTCCAGTGTGACAGTCTCTTGAAAATTTTTTTTTTTACTCATAATTATTCTTTTTTTTCCCTCATTCTCTCTCTTCCCACAAAGGTGATAAGAAATCCTAAACAAGGAACTGAAATTAATGGTAAACCCTGATCCAATATATCTAGAGAGCAGAAAAACAGTGTTATGGAATTAAAGAAAATATTCAGAGAGCAGAGAGTCTGAGTTAAGGCTCTGGTGTGAAAAAGGGAAGGATAAAATACCTTTCTAGTGTCATGACCATGACAAACTCTATCAGGTCCTTTAAATTCAGTAGATAAATCTGGAAAGATATCTACTCTATTCTGAAGGACGCTGGCCCTTTGAAGAAACAAAGGAAAAAACCTTTTCTATTTACTTACAAACCAACATCTACATCATGTAAAACGATTATTCAACAAGATATACACTGATATATACTCCAAGCATCAATTTATATTTCACCAGAGGTAAAAATATTTTTTAATCAATGGTTATTCCTCGAAATCATAAATTCATCATTTTATGAGTCTGTGCTGGGCACCCAAAACTGCACTGGTGAGGCTGCTTTCTGACCACCTGAAATAAGCACTTAGTAAGGTGAAATTCACCGTCATCCGAAGTACAGACCATATAATGAGGCAATTCAAGAATCTCAAGAGATTACAGATGGTGCACTGGAGACTAAGCATAAACAGATCCTTAACAGCCAGATTATTAACCCAAGTGACTACCTACATATTGACTGACTTGAAGTGACCCTAGGARAAACAGCAAGAAAAACGTGACTTTGGGGGTTGAATGCTCACAGCTAAAATCTGTGCACAGAAAAATTATTATGGGATTTATTCCTCATGTACTCCTGGAATTAAGTGCGTGGGTCTGGCTTTTGTTTGTAGTAGAACAAGCCGTCTTAAAAAAATGCCCAGCTCTTCTCAGTTTCTCATGGTAACATTAGGCAAGGTCTTCAAAATTCTTCAAGTCAAAAAGGTGTAACACAATGCAAGAATATTTCAGGATAAATCGTGATATTTATTCTGCGGCACTTTTCCTGCATGTGTCCTTCATGCAAGTACTTAAATACTTGACTTCAATTTTGTACTTCAGTTTTGCTTTTTGAAGGTGTATCGTGTCACTTGTTGCAATCTACAGTAAAGAGTTTATAAATGTAGGAAATAACATTTTGTTTTATCCCATCTGTTGGTAGGTGTCAAATTAAAGAACATATTTCTATTTAGGTGGGAAGATGGAAGAGTCATTCATTCTCACAGACTATAAGCGCATCATTAAATAGGAGAACCAAAGGCAGAATTACAACTTCATTACATTTTCCTAAGAAATAGAGAGCTGGTAAGAGAGACAGAATTCAGACTTACTGTGCATTTGTTCGGCTTCTCTCCTGAGTGGACTCTCATGTGAATCAGCAGTTTGTAACGGGCATTAAATGGCTTGAACCTTCGAGGGCACCCTGCCCAGAAGCAGGTGAAGTCCTCTCCCTTCCTCTGGTCTATGTGGATCTTCTCTATGTGCCGCACCAGCTCCTCTCGCTGCTCATACAGCTTCCCGCAGTCAACCCAGCAGCAGCCATGCTTGCCATTGAACTCATCCAGCTCACTGTCATCCTCCAGCAGGGCACGCGGGGCAGGCGGCACCGGCAGCGCGTGGCCGTGGCTGGGGATGCYGTGTGGGCGCCGGAGCTGGTGAGCRTGGTACGGAGGGGGCGGCCCTTGGGGAGGGGGTGGTGGCAGCAGCAGGGGCGGAAGAGGCATGTCAGCAACRGAGACTGAGAAGTCATCCAGCTGTTGATCTTTCAGGATGTGCACAGCCTGGCTGTCCAATGGCAGCACGCCCTGCTGGATCACCACGTTATTTGCAGCAGCCATCTGCAAGCTGGCTTGCTCCAGCTGCTGCAGCTGCTGGTACTCACCAGCCCTGTTCTCAACATACCCTGGAAAGGTGACGTTGCCATTCGCCATGTGGAGGCCTTTCTGAGCAGCTGGAACAGAGAAATTTTGGGGTATACAGCTTCCTCTCACGCCCAAAAAATGTCCATAGACCTCAGGCTGTGGAGAGACGTTTGCTGGCGATGCCCTGGAGCTGTTGATGTAGGCCACCAGAGAGGTTGGGGATGTGCGGATAATCGTATTGAACTCGATCCCAATGCCGTCTGACAGAGGAGACAGAGGGAGTGCCCTCTTTTTGGAGCGGGCTGATTGAGACCAGGCTGAAGACTGGCAAGGACTAGAGTAAGGGGAGTGCTTATTTTCCATGCCATAAAAGTAGGACGACAGTGAATTACTGGACACAGAAGTTTCAGGTGAAAAACTTAGTAAATCCCCCAGCTCACTCCTATTTTGTAAACCATGATCAGGAGGAACAGAAGAAAGTGTCCTGTACCTGTGTGACCACTCTTGTTCAACACTCAAAGGAGAATGACCTTCTGACAAGCTTAATGTTGTAGAGGCCAGAGACTCACATGACAAGAGTGACCTGAAATAAAAGCACAATAAAATAAGAAGTTAGACAATTCAGTAGGAGTTGTTTTACCTTCACACACACACACAAAATTAAGAAAAGCCKGCATGTGAGAAAAGCTCTCCCTATTAGGTACTCAAGTTTAGCATGCTCAGTTAATGCACCAGCAGTTACACAAAGGCAACAGACTTGTGAACAGGTCACTTAGGAAACAAGCTTTAAAACTTCAAGGTTTTGAGGAAAAACTGTTGTAARGATTCTTGATCACCACTGTAGAAATTAACACACTTATTTTCATTGACTGTGGTGTAAATAGGTTTGGACTTTGAATCCAAGCATTATGTTCCTGCCTTACATGAAACTCATATTGATTTGAGTCAGCCATTTTCTTTTGCTTAAAAATAACTGGAAGAAAACTGTTTAATAAATATTCACCCTGAATGACTTTGTCAATTGCAATGCATACAAATACTACAAATACTTCCCTACAGCAGTTTTATATATCAAGTTTATAAATACAGATATTATCTAACTTTACAAGACAAACAAAATAAAGGAGTAATGTAGGAGAACTAGTTGAAGGGGCTATTTAGATTTGATTTGAAGATCTATCTGCCTCCAAGTCAGCAATCAAAACTTTTCACAAAAGTGTAATCTTGCTGTTATCATTCGTTTTTCACAGAGATATCATGCAACTTCTTCATACTGCAAATATTCTTTGAGTATCTTAAAAAACCCCAACATACAGACCATTAAAAGTATGATTTATCTATAAAAGGGTATAAAAAGKAAATAAAAGGACATCAGAAGCCCTGATTCATGGCTGCAAATGCTGGCTAAAGGTCAAGTGGATTTATTTCTTTGTTTCCAGTTCACACCCGGTCAGACTTGGATTTCCTGCCAGCTAGCGGTGCTATCAGTATATAAATTTCTATTTTTAAGGGGCTCTAACAGCAGCAAGAACCAGGTATGTATCTAGACAAACCTGACAACCTCAAGAAGCCTATGCATCTCATGCTTTGAGTATTTAATTCTTGGGTTTACTATTTTCACAACACAGTTTTGAAGAAGCAAGGAATTTCAATAATGGATCAAGGATGAAGGAGGGGAAGCTTGGCACAGGCTGAGACAGAGAGGAAGCAGTTTGCTGGTGCCATATCTGTAAGATAGCTCACAAACAGGGAAAATGTAGCTTAAAACAGCAGCAAGCCTTGCTGTGGTGACCACTGGGAGAGACAGTTAAATCTCCCTTTGTATGAGACGCTGGATTTGTAACGCGTGGTAGATCTGCTGCTTCAGAACAAGAAACATCCTGTTCTGATTCAATGCCAGTGCAGGGTACTGTCATGGACCTTATGTTACGCCATCAGGGTTTAAATGGCACTTGCAAAACAGACCACTGACAAAAAGCACGATTAGCATGCTGACTACAATCTGCATTGCGAGAAATGAGAAAAAAGAGACTACTCTATCAGGTCAGTTCTGTGTACCATGTGGATCTAAAGGGATGACTGTCTGTGAAAAAGTTGATTTAGGCTGCTGGGTCTGTTGTCAATGGGTGTTGTTGAAGCAGAGTTCATTACAGGGAGATTAAATCGTGTTAGTATGCTGCGACCCCAAATACAGATCCACACAACAGAGCACAATAAGCAAGTCAGGTTTGATTTCTCCACGCTATGCTGTACATATTCACAGCTAGAAAACATAAGGAGATGGTGGAGTTATTTTGCCAGTTTATTTAAATTTTTATTTTCTCTTTTATGAATAAAGAAAAAGAAATCATGCATCAAGAAAAAGTGTATTTTTGTACTGACAAGAATTTTAATCAGATGCATAGTAGGACCAGTGTCATACAAAAAGCTAATAATGCCTTACACAAAGGGACATATCCATGAGTGAATCTGAAGAAAAACTGTCTTTTAAAAATCTCATCATAGGACAAAAATAAAAAGCTGGCACAGAATTTCCAGTATACAGTAAGTAATATCCAGATAATTTGAAGAAGCTTGCTTTCCACTTCAGCGTCTAAATTCAAATATAATAAAGATTCTAGCTCCTAAAAAAAAAGGTTTCTTTAAAATTCAGCCCACACTGTGACTCAGTAGTTTTCTAGTAGGGGGAAAATAAATAAACCTAATACAAAACTGAAGGGCCTGCTCTATCAGAGTGGCAGATTCTCAGACGGTTTTACCTGGCACATCTGCTTACTGTTATCTAAACTGGTTTGAGTTTGAACCAGATCTTTCATTAACATTTACAAAAGATTACTTGCAATTACATTTTATTCTCACTCTGTGTACAGAGGCCAAAATGTCAGATTATAATCCAGAATTTTAAACATCAACATGGAAGAGTAAAAACTGTGTTTTTCTCTTTTTTCATGGTCTCCTATTTATTAGCCAAGAACCTTTTGCTCTCTGCTAGATAATTTTCTGACTTGCATCAAAGCAAATGGCAGAATTACATCTGGTTTCAAGCAACACAACTGAATACTCCAAGAATGTTTTGCAGAAACTCGAAAGAGATGAGGAAGATTTAAACCCCCCTGGTCTATACACCAGAATCTGATGTGATCTGTAGCAAAACTCTGATTTTGCCAACTGTTTTCTTTCTTCCATCAGTGAAAATCAAGACAATTGTCTTCAGTTTTGGCAAATTCAGCAATTAAGCTGTTTTGGATTGAGCTGCCAGAACACAGTTCATGGTGCCTAAGAAATAAAATCCAGAGAAGGCACTTTGCCTAGGAAGAATCAGTCAACTTCATTTAGAAAAAAGCAGTTTATAGCTGAAGAAATTTAATCAAAGAACAACAAAAAAAAAAAGCTCCAAACCCAATAACAAATAACCAAACCCCCCAAAATACAAACAAAACCCCYCCAAACTGACAGTCTGTGAGTTAAAATCTGAGTTTAAATTTCTTTTGTTTTTTGCCCTATAAAACAGTAAATTTGACATCAAAAGTGCTGAAATGGACATTCTTAGTATGACAAACTAATTTTATAACACCTTCATTGATAAATCATTAAAAGATACTCTAGGGACATCAGCACCTTGATTCTGCCAGTTTCAACTTCAGTTTGCCCTTAGTAAATGTTTTGTTGAAATAAAACCAAAACTGTGTAACTCAGTACTGACACAGTACATCCAACCACACATTCCATGTTTGGTACCATGCAGGCACACCTGAARTGCATAAGTAACAACTGCGTAATTATATTTTTCTAGCATCAGTTTTGTTAGATCTGAAAGGCAGGTCTTTGGATTTGTTATTTATCTTCATCTTAGCACTGAATGGTTTTTGCTGGCATGTTTACACAGAAAGCATAATTAATTTTGTTAATCTTCCCAGGGGACTCAGTCTTCACAACTGAAGTGACAGAAACGTTAAAAATTATCTTAAGGGTAGTGCAAGGTTTTCTTCCAGTTGCACAACACCAATTTTAATTATTTCAGGAATGTTCTTTGGCTTGTAATAAAGCATTATAGTAAAATGTAAACTGCTTTGAGAATAAAGACCATTGTGGTCTTCTGTAAATAAGAAACTACATTTCAACTCAGTAGGCAGTGGGGATGTAGATTCCAAAATAATACATTAGAATGTTTTCTCACTGAATGTTTAACATCCARGGTTGTGCCTAATGTATTTGTAGGGTGGTTGTAAAATAGCTGTTTTCCCTTAATTCATGCTTGTTGACAACACTCAAAGTCATAATCTCAAAACTTATTTATGCTTTTAAATAAATTAACAAGTATTTATCTGTGGAGCAGTGATATAAAAAAGCAACATTTACAGGAAGAGGTCATATTTTTCATTATCTAYTCACCAGAACTAGGAAAATTAAATTGTTTTCAGAGACAATTGATCTGATTAACTGAACTGTGTAAACAAACTATTTGAAAGCAAAAGTATTTGATGACGAGAAAGGAACATGTGCAGACCATTTATGATTTTTTATCTGACCTTAGTGTTATTTGACAGGCATTGACATGGCACTCTTAGCACTGTGTAGACATAACACATGGACTATTTCTGCTTTCGTCCTCCRTAACACTTCTTATACCTAGCACAAAAATCTAGTTTGTGACTGTAAAATGGCCTTTATCTAATTAAAAAATCCTATCATACATCCTATCCTGTCATAGATTTCGTGTGGCCAAATTTCACCCACTATTTGAATTATCCAAACACTATGATTGGAGCCAATCCAAATTAAATTTCATGGAATTCAATTTCCTGTGGCATAACAGAGCATGATTTTCTTACTTTAATAATCAGAAATGTCACATTTTAATTAGAGAAGAATTAAAACCCCCTCCTTTTGAAGTACTGAATATAAAAAGGCAATAGAGGACCTTGTATCTGACGGAGAAGCACTCAGGCTGGAAGCATCCATAGATCTCTGGAAGCTAGGGCTGATCTGGCTGCATGCTGTTGAAAGCTGATCAGCAGGAGGTGAAAGAGGTCCCAGCTGTTGAACTGTCATGGGATTGCTGGTGACTATTGCATTGTTGCCGCTGCCTTTTCCAATGGACTTGAGCTTGTGGCCGTAACCAAGACCTCCTAAAGTAAACAAAGCGCATTAGYATTTATCTCTCATGAACCTGTGATAAGGTACAGAACTCACATCACTTCGCAAAGTCTGAAAAGTAATGGGAATCCTCAGATGAGGATGAAACAGGGGACCAGTACAAGAATTTTGTAAACTTTTTGAAACATCAAAAGCAATATTCTACAGAGTAATTAATATGTAGTGAAGTACATAAACATGTGAAACATGTAGTGAAATACATAAACTAAAGGCCAGGTAACACAGAAAAAAATCAGAACAAGCGCCAGGGAGAAGAGCAGCCCTCAGCTAAGGGACAGCCCTCAATGAGGAATGCAGGAGGAGAGAACCCAAGGAGGCTGCCAGAACACCACCACACCCCAAGACCTACCAAACCCCAGAGCTCCAGGCTGTTGCAAGCCCATCCGTCATTCCTACCACTAGCCATGCAAAGAACAAGTACACCACCGATATGTACAGACTGCAATGCTGGCTGCATGGCTTCACCAGCAGGAGAGTTACAGCTGGAACCCAGCATTCCTCAGAAGTCTAGGTAGAGGAATCTGAGCTGAATCAAACTGAGAAGCACTCTGGAATTTAAAGGCCTCAGTCTGCTCTTAATCACTGCTGCCATGACTAAAATTGATGGCTATTACACAGAAGCACAAAAGGTAGCTGGCCAGTGGGACATATCTTCAAGATGCCCAAAACAACTTTGTATTGTGTTTTAGGTCACAGACGGTGGTTTACAAGACTGCCTCCATTAAAGCACATTGAGATTAGAAAGTTAAAATGCAGGTCATAATATGGAAGTTGTTGGGATACCTAGCAATTCTCATCACAGTTGGAACAATTCACATTTCTAGCTGCTTCTCTTATTCAGAGTACTCCACAAAGCAGCATAGCAACATCAACACAAACAGTGAAAAGTACTTCAATGTAAACCATTTTCCTAAATTGAAAATTGTACATGGTTGTACAACTCATACAAGTTTTTCTCCAGGTTCCTCAAATGGGCTGCGTGTGGACTGCAGAAAGACGTACATTAAGGCATTTATGGCCCTCMCAATCAAAGGAAGAAAATCCAAATCCTTCAATCCCTTCCAGATCAAATAGTTCCAAGGACAAACATGCAAAGAGAATTCCTTGTTCTGCACTCAACTCCTTTGGACACTAGAACAAAGCATTTAAGCTCCTGTAGGATTACTGTCTGTTCCCACTACAGATGTTCAATTAAATGAAAAGAAAAAGAGAAGGCATTTAAATGTTTTTCCTGTGAAACAGGAAAGTTYGTATTTTGAACTCACTGAAGCTGAATCAGTGTGATACTCAGCAGTGGATTTTATAAGGTTGCAGAGTATTAAACTGAAATCGGTATTGCCAAATATTAGGCAAAAGAACGTAAATTGCTTCTGATAGTAACATGAACACTACTCTTAGCAAAAAGCTGAATGGGGTGAAATAAAAAAATTACATGCCCCAATCAGACTATAAAAAATGCATAATACTGCATTATATGCCTATATGTGTGCACATCACAAATGTTTAGTCAACTATTTTTCAGAAAAGTGCCTTTAGTATGCAGAAACAGAATTTCTGCACCAAACAATATAAAAGACAGAGAAGYGTGCTATAGCAACATAGGAAATCCAGCTGGTTCTGACACTGAAATACAGTTGCAATGCTTGCAGAGTATATATATATATATTTTCTTTGAATACTTAATCAGACATAGACCTACTATTTAGCATCGAGAAAGTGTACCAAATACATACTGATCATTTCCTGGATGACACCATCAACACCCTTCACGTAAAAGCCACTTTTAACCAATTTCGGTAGTAACAATAATATCTACTTTRTCATATCAGGAAATCAAGGAAATCAATCTGTGCATTTATCAGATTTCCATCAGGGAAAGGCCATATGTCATCTCAAATAACAATCTGCAACCAAACAGTGAAATTGTTATTTATTCATGATTAAACCTGAATTGCTTGGAAAAAAAGCTACTTGTCAGAAAAAAAAAAAAAACAAATCCCAACAGCAAAACCAGCAAAGGCAGTAGCATCAAACCAGTACTGTTAAATACAGAAAGTTGCATCCCCAATGCATCCCGGTTTCCCTTTCAGTCACAGGGTCTGATATTATCATCTGTGTATAAACAGCACCTCAGGAATGCCAACAGCAGATAAGATAATTTGTTGTGTTATGGTAAGGACAATGGCCAAAAATGGCCTGGATAGCTAGCCATTGAAAGGAAAACATGAGAAATTAAGTACTTTGGAGAGACTGTATTACTAGAATGATAAAAGTATTGCAAGTATCTAGTCTTCATGAACATTTGCCTGGACATTTCTTTGACACGGAAACAGAGGCGAAATGTTTTGTTCTACCACTGACAAACATTTGCTGTTATGAGGAAAAATAACAAGTTTTCTACATAAAAGACGATGGAGAAGATAATCATGGAAGAATAAATCAKCAGCTCTCACCACTGAAACACTACAAAGTAAAAGACTGCTGATGCGAAATGTAATAACATTCCATCAACTGCTTTATATAGGCATAAATGTGCCAAAAGATCATCAYTAGTACCTTGTCTGCACCCTGCACGTCACTGAACAGCATCAATCTGCTGATCCAGGCAGCAGCACACAACCCCACTTATGTTGAACTAAGTCTGAGCACAGGACGGGAGCTTACAGCAACTTCAAGCCTGCTACAAAAGTACAAACCGCACGTGATCTAGCACAAAGTTAAACGGGTGCAGTGTGGACATCCAACCTGTCATGAGCCTGCTGCTAAAAGGCAAGCTGTGTCCAACACAACATGTGTCCAAAAGCTCTGGCTTTGAGCTGTCAGAATGACTATGTCCAACGTCAGCATTTGGCATCCCACACCCACAGTGCCAGAGGAGTCCTCAGTCCAGGTTTCCTGTGTCATTGAACCAAAGCCTGAAAATTTCAGCACACTGAGAGGACAATCAGGAATTCCTTAATGCCTTGAATCCATATCAGCTGAAATAAATGGGAAACTCTCTGGAGGATATCAGTGGGTTTTAAATGATGCTGTAAATTCTAAGAAAAATATATGAACATTTTAAATAAGCAAGAGAAATAATTTCTTTTCTCTTACACCAGGATGTAAATCGGGAGACAGTCCAATAAAGGCAGCAATAACTGAGGAGGTGGAATCAGTCCTGCAGTAGCTCACAGTAAGAGTTACAGCTGACTAGAGCAGGTTCTTTATTCCAAATAAACATACTACACAGAAATCAAAGCTGCTCCTTATCAATAAATAACAGTAATAGTTAACAAGTAGAAACAGTAAAAATATTTTATGGAAATATTTTAATCTGCTCACTTCCTCATTCAATAGCCTGCCTATTTTCCCTGTTTATTCTCTATAGTTAATAGCTAAGCTTCACTCAACCTTGAAATGCAAAATTATTTCACTGCAATCTTTTGAAGAACACTCAAAGAATGCAGAAAAATACAACTACTTTAGATACAAAGAATTTTAGATGAGATTTTCTAAGTTTATATAATTCTCTTACTTTTTGGAGGCAGAGTCCAAAACAACACCAGTTTCATTTAAAAAATATTTTCTTTTATCAGATACTGATGGAAAACCAACCATTTCTATGCCTACTTCTCCATGTCAAGAGCAACAATTTGTTAATTCTGCCAAGTAACTCTGGTTAAAAAATGAAATTACTTCAGCTTACCTTTRAAATTGTAAACTTTGTTTCCCATATATAAATCACAGTCAACAAAAACATATAAAAGCAAAACCAGTTTTAATTGTTAGGTGTTCTGAAACACACTACATACATATCAAATACATAACACCAGATCAAACTCAAACATCTCTCAGATTAATAAATGCTGTGGTTAYTGAACTAATCAGTATGAAACAAAGTTATTAAAGTGAAAACCTGTCCCTTGTTACTGTAAGAATAACAGCTAGAAATAAAATAATTGCAACAAAGGAGCAAAAGTTAATTTCTCTAGGGGATTTTCTGTGTCCATATACGAAGAAAATGTACATATTTAAGAAACTCCACAAACTCAAACGTTTATGTAGAAGACTTGTTTCCTGATGGTAATATCCCAGTGCCTCTCACCTTGAGCCTGCAGAAATTTTCAGGCTTCCCCTGCAGCAGTTTTAGCTGTATCATTAATGACTGCTAGAGAGCCAGCACTTGTCCCTTTGTCCTCAAACTCCACAGCCACATTTCTATTGTTTCTACAACCATTTAAGAAGCACTATAGCACAACACCCTTGCAGAGACACTTGCTGCAGGCCAGTGTATATCAGATCCCTTTGATCCCTCTTTAAGTGTGTTAAACTGGAGCTTCAAAGGGAACAAATACATTTTTAAAAGGCAGGATGGGGGAATATTGTCATTCACCTCTATGACCATATGATCAGACAAAATCTTTGCCAGTTTGAAAATCCAGGCTTCTTCAAACTAGTATCATACCCTGAGTCCGAATCTTTTTGAAAGACCTTGAGTTTTCTAGGTGATCTACACAAAAATCTGGACTCAAGTACATTAGGTATAAGCTTTTTTTATGGCAAGCAAGCTGGAGTTTTTCAGAGTACGAGTAAATTATTAAACTATGACTCAAAAAATTGCTGAATTATCATTTGTGTTGCAAKTCTTACAAAATATTGTAGTTTCTCAACTACAGTACACCATACAAACACTACATGTCAGTGAAACAGTGATTCTTAGCATTTATTATCTTTAAAAACAAAAACAAAATTTAAAAAAATCAAGGATTTGTAGTCAGAGAGAAAAATCTGAAATCAGGATCCCAAAAGCTCAGTTTTTAACATCATAGTTATGATCACAGGCTACGGTTTTCTTAACAAAATTAGCAACGACTTTTTAGTAACAAATTTTCTCAAAATCCTCTGGCAGTGTCCTGTCTGAAACCAAGTTAGACAGACCATAAATCTGACTAGCATTGGATATTACCATGTTCCTAACTAT